TGTCTGTCTGTCTGTTTGTCTGTCTGTCTGTCTTTCTGTCTGTCAGGCAGTCAGTCAGTAAGTCAGTTAAGCAGTCAGTATGTCAGCCAGGAGTTAATTAAGTAGCGAATTTCCAAGTAAAACCTTAATACCCGCTTTCAGTGTAATGTGCACAGGCGACATCTTTCGACCATCTTTCGTTATGCCTGTGCCATCTTTCGACGTGCCACGTAAACGGCTGAAAGACCGTTTAACTGTGAAACATTTCAATCTTTCCGGTTATTAGAGGAAGAAATGACAAATAAATGATAATTACTGACCTCAAATGACTGAAGAAGATTGCGGACTTTTCATGTTTCCCGATTCACGGGATAATTCAAACGGTTTTAGTGTAGTCGACCGGCACTCAATAGCCACTTCCGGTAGAATTGCTGCCGCTACCTACTGCTACCGCTACCGCTTTTAACATTCGCATGGTGTAAAACATTCAAAACAGTCGATTTATTTCTCCCCGAATGACTTCTTGATACTCCTAACATTAGTTTGATGTCAAATAAATCCATCTTTTATCACTAAAATTCGAGTTTGACCGTAAAGAAGTAAGTTGTGCTTACATTTTTGACGTAGGCCAGGTTACTAAGCATGTTGAGAAATGTCGCTTATGCACGTAAAACTGAAAGCAGGTGTAATGCACACACACACAAAACATATTCACCATGTTGGCGGCAGTCAACTTACTTGGAGGTCTTTAGTCGCAGAGAAGTAGTTACCTTGTCCACAACCGCTCGAACTGAATCTCCACCGGCAACTCGGTTAGGCGAACCGTCTTCGTAGTCACACATGACAGTGTCATCTCCAGGGTAAACCATAGATTCGGAAAAATGATAACCCAGACTACTTTTGTATTCGCATGAAGTGAGGTAACTATCTTTAGGAATCAAAGGGAGGGAAAAGAAGTCCAAGTATTCCTTGCTAATTCTTTCGGATTTCTGTTTGAGTTCATCGTGATATCGTTCTGAAAGAACACTATGGTAAACATCTTTCCGTTCTGCAACCGAGATATCGTCGGAATAGAGTGATAGATATTCGGAACTGATCAGTTTGAATTCTTTTTCTTGAAAGCTTTTCCAAAATACTTGTACAAAGCCATCACCTATGCCTTGTTTATGAAGTACTTCAAGGTAATATTTACTACCTTTGAGAAGATACATATCTTCAGAGATTTGGTCAGGGTATTTATCCAGCTGATTTCGTTGTGCCCACGCAGTTTCACCTTCTGTGAACACTCTGGCAATCAACTGTTTTCGGTTTGGATCTTCACTTGAACTAAGCCATAACTCTGATGTATCATCCGAGACTATTGCAAAACGGTATGACATTGTGTTTGGTGGGTGAACGAAGCCAAAAATAACCTGGCCATAGTCTAAGCTGTCGTCTTCAATCTGGAATTCTGTTATACGGTACTTAAACTTTTCGTTAGGATACCGAGGAAAAAAGAGATGTTGACGTAAGTTCGGTATGTCGGAACCACACAGCTCTCGCCAGATGTGAATGTTCAGGGCGCTGAGGGAGAGTTTTACACGTGAATTGTTATTTATTGTGGATCCCGCAAGCGTAAGACTGTAATTTCCTATGTCAATCTTACGATTTGGAGGATTTTTTGAAAAGTTGTAGACGCAGTGCCAGACAAAACAGGTCAACAGAGTAAGTAAGAGACAACACTTTCCAAGTCTTTGAAGTTTGCGCGATCGAAGACATCTTTGAATAGTCCCCATATGTTGCGAATAGTTTTAGATGCGTCAGAAGCGTAGCACAGCGGACCAGGAAATTCTAATGGCAAAGTCTTTTTTTTTTCAGTGCGTTATATTTAAAAGTGGAACGAAATTTTTCATCGTGCTTGTGACAGGACCACCTGAAACATTTAACAATAAGAATAAAACATTTTCATTCATTTTCAACAATCTATCTCATCGTCTGTCAGTAATACAATGAATATATTGAACTGAGATGTAAACAAAACAAGAAAATAGTGTCATCGCGTTCCCCTCCCCGTAGCATTATATTAAAAGAAGTTGTGGGGAATTTAATTCGTTGCTCAGTGCATTACGTAAATTTAACGAGAGCTAAAATTGAGAAGAACCAGTTAAACGTAGACATGGACGTAAAATCACACAACCACTGAGGCTGCAAGAGTTCGTAAGCTGTTTTATTAATAAGTTTTATTTCACTTCGAGAGTTATGTCGGCATTTTAAATCCTCGAATATGCGCCTGGTCTTTAATCTAAAACCTGATAGTTCCGCGGTATTCTCGTTTTGCAAGCTTTTCGAGTGTTCTCCCAACTTCCCGCGTTGGTTTATTATTGCGCCGGTAAAACATAGAAAAAGTGGTCTATTGCTTTTGTGAAATAGCTATGGAAAAAATCTTAAAAATATAGGAAATATCGGTCCGACTTTTACATAATTATCTCCTTAGCTTTACAAGCCATCGGCGAACGTATGACTTCTAGAAACCATAGGGTTAATATTCAATTAGCAAAATTCATTTCATCTTGCTTTGATCTACGAACACACCTTATTCGAAAATGGCAGCCAGTTTATTTTTCTTTTGTTTACATGGTAATTAGCCCTCTTTGCCTCGTCAACACGTACAAAATACAAAAGAATTCTGAAGTGAAAATGAGGCAAAGAGGCAAATGACTTGCAAACAAAAGAATAATAAATTGGCCGCCATTTTGGAATAAGGTGTATATTTTTCTTTCAAATCAAACCGTTGTAACTTCAATGTTATATCATTACCTTATTACATGTTCACGATGATCATTATTACTATTTCAGTTTTAGTTTACAAGAAGGTTTTGCAACACTGTACGTATTCGTGCTCATGCAAAATTATAAAGCCAGTTGTTATTATGAAAATATCTGACAAAGGGAGGGAAATTTATTGTCCTTTCGTGATCAAGTTCCTTCCTTATTCGAGACAAATTCATAAGATGACGTAACAAACCAACAACAGGGGCTGATGGAATAAAAACACAGCCGCTGCTCCACACAAAATTAAAGGTCCAGAGGGAAGGCGAGGAAATCTTTAAGCGCTAAAAATGTTTTAACAAAGGAAAGGAAAAGGCTATCGGTAGAAGACAGAAACTGTATTAATTATTTCAAGAATACTTTGACGGGAAAATGCGGGAATTTGGTGGTCGGAATCAATCATCGCGAATAACTTAAATTACGAAACGTTTGCAAGTAGTACTTGGCGAATTGATTCAACGATAAATTAAAACTTTGTGAATGAATTAAGGTTAGCTCTAGAAACGTTGCGTCGGAAATTTATTCAGAATTTATTTTGTTTTGTTGAAGACTATGAGTCCGTGTTTCTCTGTATTTTGCTAAATGAAAACTTTTTCTTGAAAGCTAAATGGAAACCAGATTCATTTACCGTGTTATGCAATTATGCATGCATCGAGTTTAAACTCAAAACTACTGGTAAACGTATAATGTTAACAAGAAAAAACTGTTCAGAATTTTTCAGAATATGGTCTGTTACTATGGCACGCTTTCGTATCCTAACGCGTTCAAACTCACCAATATTAGAAATACTTACAGGCTTCCTATATGAATTTCACGTTTCAGACATGATTCTCTCAAGAAAACTGTTTATTTGTCTTTCATTCAAATATTTGAATTCTTCAAAGAAGCATCATGTAAAATGGTAACAGACAATCATTTAGCATCTATAGTTCATAATTAATATGTCGTACAAACACGAAACACGATCTATTTTATACTGTCTTCGACCGCTCAAATATACATACACGTGATCTTGGTAATGCAGAAACAGAGAACTTAAGGGAGAAAGGATAAAACAACGTCACGGGTCCTTGCATTTCCCTGTTGTATGGATTGTGCAATACAGCGTCTGTCATCATAGATAGTCAGAGCTTTAGGAACGAGCCAAATTATCAAACTCATTCCTGCTGTAACTTTGCTCTGTGAGCGACAACAAGCGATTCTCAATATAATGGTAACACATGATAAGCGGAAAGAAAGGTTTCGGAAATTCACACTCTTAGGCTGGCCAGCGGCGTGCGAGACTGACTTGTTTTCATATGGCTAGAGTGGGATGTTCTCCATTTTTGCCCGCGAAATCACTCGTCCGAATATCTACCTAGTGATTATGTTAATACATACCAAAATACCTCCGACTTTCACATCCTTTTCCTTATGAACTGCAAGAAA